GAGCTCGTGAAGTGTGGAATTGAGAGATTAATACACTATCTCCTTGTGGTTGTTTTCATTGGTTCGGGCGTCATGAGTTCGTGAGTAAATTAACTTTTATTTCTTTTTTTTTTCCCTTTTGTTTTTTTGTTTTTTTTTTGTGGGGGGGGGGGGGGGAGGGATGGGGGAAGGGTTACAGAATGGACTTGATTGAATTTTTTATGACTTGAATGACAACATTTGAGCAAATAATAATAATAATAATTACTATTATTATGATAATAATTTATAATTAAAATAATAATAATAATAATAATAATAATAATAAAATAAAAAAAATTAAAATAATAATATTATTGTAATAATAAATTAAATAAATATAATTTCCCCCCCAAAAAATAAAAATAAATATAAATAGAATAAAATAATTGTTAAATATAATAATAAATTATTAATAATATTTAATGAAATAAATGCGAGGCACAAGGCCTCAATAAGCCCTTCCGGGCCCCTACTTGCAACAGGTCGGCCGCCCTAAGTGAAGGCAGGCTCGACAGATGACAAGAGGCCTAATTTGGGCTACTTCGCAACTGGGGTAAAGTTCAGGCAGTCGCGCAGCGCCAGTTGGTTGAAGGCGCCCAGGCCCTGGCCTTCTTTATCAAATGTATCTAAGTCAGGCCCTGGGCGAGAACGCAGCATAGGCCCTGGGCGAGATACGCAGCATGGACCCAACTCAGACTGTGGGCAGTTGGGCACAGGTAACTGTCGGTGGCCCTGGGCCTGATTCGTTTGGGCGGAGGCTCATCCTCCCTGGGCCTACCGGAAGCTTCTGGGCCGAGGCCCAGTACCGCAGCACAGCACGCAGCAGCAGGCCACTTTGATATAGGGAAGGGCCTGCCCCCGCATTTGACATTCGGGCACTGGCTGCATGCTGCGCTAACGCTGGCCAGGCTCACGCGCTGACGGGCGAGCTGGAAGGAGCAGGCAGCCATAGCCGAGCTGCGCTGCTGTATGCTGGACGGGGCGCATGGTGGTCCTTGGGTGCAAGTGGCATCTCTGAGTTGGGGAACGAGGTTGTGAGTGATACGAGAGACATACCTGGTGCTTGAGGAGTGCGGCATTGTCGGAGATCTGCTCGTACTTGGGAAAGCTGTTGACGTCATCAGCGACATTGTAGTCTAGGCTAGATAGGATCTGCCATTCGTAGTCTGGGCGCCGAGCGCCAGATAGGATATCAACATTGGTTGTTCGTTGATGATGATGATGAGACTATTCCGGCATTGTCAATTATGAGCTTTTGGTGTGCTCTTATTTGGTGAAACTCGTGATGCAATTCTGCTATTGGTTCGAGGTCACGACTATCTTGCAAGGAAGATGAGCAATAGCGAACTCCAGAACGCAAACAGCATCATACATAAGTTACCAGATAGCCATGACCTCGAACCATAAGCAGAATGGCATCACGAGTTTCACCCAATAAGAACACAGCAATAGTTCGTGATTGACAATGCTGAAGTTGTCTCCCATCATCATCAACAAAGAACAAGAGTTGATATCCTACTGGCGCTCGGTGCCCAGACCACAAGATGGCAGGACCTATCTAGCCTACTACTACAATGCCGAAGTTGACGTCAACAGCTTCACCGAAGTACGAGCATATGCGGCCAATGCCGCTCGTCTCAAGCACCAGGTATGTCTCCCACTTTGCTCTCAACCCCGATCCTTACCACACAGATGCCTCTAGCACCCAAGGACCACCCAGCGCCCCACCTAGCAAACAGCAGGCAGCGTGGCTATGGCTGCCTGCTTCTTCCTCACTCGCCCGTGAGTGCGAGGGCGCCAGCCAGCAAATAGCGCAGCTGTGCTGTCGCAGCATGCAGCCAGCACCCGAATGTCGAATGAGGAGGCAGGCCCTTCCCTATATCGAAGTGGCCTGCCTGCGTCCAGTCCAGGAAGCTTCCAGTAGGCCCCGGTAGCCTGAGGCCCAGTCACGAAGAATGCAGGCATTGGGCCTGAGGTAGTTGCATACACCCAACTGCTTTCGGCCTGTGCTTGGCCCGGTCCCCGTACCCAGCCCAGGGCCTGCTTTACATTCATTCACATGGGCGGCCCAGGGCGTGAGTTCATTCAACCAACTGATGCTGTGTAACTGCCTGAATTTCCCCATTTGCAGGGTACCCTGAAAAAGAGGCCCTGAGGGCCTGTCGTGCCTGCCTTCACTTAGGGCGGCCGACCTTGCTGCAAATAAGGCCCGTAGGGGCTAAGCGGGCGTAGCCTCGCAATCTGGTCTTATGTGTAATAGTGTATGATGCTGTTTGATTTCTGAAGTTCGCTATCGCTCATCTTCCTTGCATAAATTTAATTCAATATAATAATAATAAGTACGTACTATGTATATAGTCAAACAGAGCTGCCTGGTAAAGCGCAGGCAGAGAGGGAGGGGGAGAAGAGGACAACAAACAAACTGAGGGGCTGCGACAAACTGTTTCGTTGGAGTTTCACCGACTCGTCAGGAGGCTGAACCCTCAAAAAAGTCTGCAGAATCCCCTAACTGATTACACAGTAACTGACAATCCACCTTAACCCCGGCTGTGGTTAAGCATCAACGACCGCCCGGCAAACTGATACCCCTCTGAGGTGGTGGGGACCACCAACCACTGCTGCCCTCAAGGTACCTGTGACGAAAATCAAAGCAGACTAGCACTCACCCACACCAGATGAAAACTCTACAGACTGTCGGTTATATATATAATAATAATCTGGGCTATCAGCCGGGCCACTCGGGTCACCTTGTTTGACCGCGCTGCCCGGTCGTGCGAGGACCAAAGAAGGGCTCAGCAAAAAAAAAAAGAAAAAAAAAAGAAAAGAAAAGAAAAGAAAATCTGAAAAAGAAAAAAAAAAACTATGTCATGCAGAAAACTAAACTGAACAGTTTTTGCCTCAGGGTCACATCCAAATTCTTTATTTGCCAAATTTGAAATAGAAAATAAAACTGGAAAAAAAAATATTTTTGTTCTTTTCTTTTTTTTTTTGCCCGGCCGGGCAACTTGCCCCGGCCACTCTCGTAGCTTAGATAGTAGATAGTATTAGACTAATAGTAATAATAATAATTATAATAATAAGAATAACAATAATAATAATAACAATAATGACTCATGTATAGCCCAGGAAACTGATTCGCTTGAACCAGACTTGTCTTCTTGGTTTGATGGGTTTTTTTTTTTTTTTTTTTTTTTTTTTTTTTTTTTTTTTTTTTTTTTTTTTTGCGTGAATAGGTATGGTGCGCATATCTGTCGAGCTATGGCTGAGCTTCACAAGATGGGTGTTCTCATGCGCGACTTGAAACCGGCAAACTTTCTCATCGACGACTATGATTTTGCTGGTAAGAGAAGACAAAGGGTGTGGGTTGTGGACTCAAATTGTACATGAATCTGGATTGCAATTCGAACCGGATACATTTGGATGGAAAGAACATTTTAAATGCATCACCACTATTCACCAACTTTCTTGAAATAGTTTTAAGAATGTTGTCACTGCTGTGCATTGAGACCATTACCAGCGACATCAGTCTGGATTGTAATCCGGACCAGATGCATTCGGACTGATCCAAGATTTTGAAATTTTCATTGGTACCAAGCCCGGCGGTCCATTTTGGTGTTGCCTGGCGTTTCATCCTCCGCAAAAAGCTTCCGATCAGTCCAAGTGCATCTAATCCGGATTGCAATCCAGATTCATGTAGCTGGTGTTTCGTCCTCTGGAAAACGTACCTCCTTGTGGCATGGGATGCTTGGGACATGGGAACACTTGGGACATGGAGATGCTTGGGACATGGGGACACTTGGGACATGGGGACGCTTGGGACATGGGGACTCTGTCAGAAGAAGCAGCCCCTCGGGCATCACCAGCAGCAGGAGGAGGGCAGGAGGAGGACTGGAGGAGGAGAAGAATAATGCTGCACCTGAGTTAGTGCTAGCAGCAGCAGCCCTGATTTAGTGCGAGCAGCAGCAGCCCCCCGGGCATCACCAGCAGCAGGAGGAGGAGGAGAGGAGGAGGACTGGAGGAGGAGGAGAATAATGCACAAAAAAACGATGCTTGATTGCAAATTGAAACCGACTTTGCACAATCTCAAAATGGAAGTTGTGCAACCATCTGCGATCCGATAGATTGAGAAGAAGCTAAATGAACATGATCACTGAAGCTCTCTCTCTCTCTCTCTCTCTCTCTCTCTCTCTCTCTCTCTCTCTCTCTCTCTCCCCCACCCGATTTTGCTAATTCTCTCTCTCTCTTTGTGTGGGTGACTCTGTCGGATGGTATCTCGCCCTTGGTGTTGATACCCTTGGAGTTGTGGCGGACTCTCTCTCTCTCTCTCTCTCTCTCTCTCTCTCTCTCTCTCTCTCTCTCTCTCTCTGTGAAACGGTTTTCACCTTTGCAGAGGCCGATGCAGATCCCGGGGTTTGATCCCCAGACCTTACCTTACCCATGTATAGTATCGAGTTGACCCTTGGGTGCTTGAACCCGTGACCTGTGTTTCGTGAGTTGTTGTTTGTCTATCGTAGGACTGTGTGGACATAGGGATTYGATCTGTAGACCYGTCGAGTAGAGGTCYTAGAGAGTTCCAGAAGTCGTAGCTGTAGATGTCCTGAAGGGTCAAGGTCGTAGCTGCTACAGTCCTAAGAGGTCAAGGTCGTAGCTGCTACAGTCCCGAAAGGCCAAGTCCACAGACTTCCGGAAGGTCCGGAAGTGGCCTTTCGCAGCTTGCTCACGTTTTAGACTAAGGCAAGTGGGCAAGTGGGCAAGTGGTGGACCAACTGCAGTACGTTCGTAGTACGATAGCGGTAGGTTAGCAGTGCGTCCCCAGGCAGTCAGCGGTACGGTCCAGTCAGTCCCAGTCCAGTCCAGCAAGTACCATGAGGGACTGTGTGTACCATGGGCCGATGGAAAGGGGCAGACCAACGAGTTACAGAAGTATAAATCAAGAGGCAGCGCACAGCCATTCATTTATTCCTGCGGAAGCCATGCGGAAGCGCTGCCACAGTGACTTGTGCGAGGTGGTCTGCAGAGGAGCCTGAAGTCGAAGTGGGCTGAAGGAGTTAGCGCA